ACGTGTGACTCTTGGTGGCTGACTTACGTGTGTGACACCACTGTGAGAAGCTGTGTCACTCCCTCATGACTGACCCGGCTAAATATACACACTTTAACGAGCTCATACACACTGGTTCTGGTTCTAGTGAGCATCTATTAATGATACTGGGATTTTAGAGGAAGGCTTTGTAAGGCAAGTGCTTTTGAGCAAAGTTTCATCAGTGTCATCAATATGCCAACAAGATATCTGTTATTTTAATATGGATCATAGTTAAACACTAACAATTAGTCTGCAGTTTTTTCATGTCTTTTTTAATTCTAGCTTTACCTGCGTTACTATCTTAAAGTTTGAGTGCATGGTTTTGGATTGCAGCAGGAAGCTAGAGAAAACCCAGAACATCCAGACTCACCACAGAAAGACCATTAGTTACTGCCAGGGCTTGAACCAGTGACCTTCTTGCTGTAAGGAGAGAACACTAACCAGCTGTCTGTTGTGTGGCTTAAACTTTACTTGGATCATCTAAACACTAAAAGTCATCATAATGATGCCAACCAGTAGGTGGTTTGTTTAGGTGGGTGTTCCAGTGAAGAGACAAAATGATATGTTTGGTGAGGCTGGGTTTAGACGGTGGAAATGTGTGGAGAGATAGTGTGGAGGATATGTTTAAAAAGGTCAGGTCTAAGAAAAAGAAGAAAGTCCAGTGACCCAGAGAAGATCTACAGATGCAGGCAAGGAGGACCTGAAGGTTGTTGCTGTAACGGGAGAAAGATGAGTGACACCAGGGAAAATAATCCACGGTGGTGACCCCTGCAGAAAGCAGCTGAAAGAAGAGGCAGAAACCAAATATGGACTGTGGCTATATCTGAATCCAGGAACATATGTCCTCACAACAGGTACAGTTAAGCTGCAGGATCCAGCTGTAGTATTACTGCGCAGTGACCTTTTTAATCCCTGCATGTGGCTTTCTAAGAAGAAAAACAAAAGTGCAGTGTTCTGAGTTTTAATATTTGGTCTCTTGTCTACACTTTCTATGAAATCAAAGAGTAAAGACCAGCTATTATCTTCCTAGGTGTTTTTATTATTCTTCCTGTCTGTGACCTCGCAGCCATGCTGTAATGAGAGAAAAACTCCCAGTGGCATGACCATCAGCTTCTTTATTATTTTTTATTGCAAAGAATAATTATAATTACTGCCATTAACATAGTGCAGGAGTGATTACCATTATTGTAATAAGCAGTAATACGCTCACACGTTCACATCCTGGCACGTGTGAGAAGATTGCACAACTGTGTGGTTTCTGTCTTTCCTCTTCACATTTTCCAAATTCCAGACTCGTCTTAAACACCGACCCCCCACCGACCCCCGCCCCCCCTCTTGGTTCTGATCATCTAGCCTCCTTACATCACTGTCTTTCACCTCCATCAGTTCTGTTCTAATCCCATTTCTTCGTTGCCAGTCTGTTGGTTGTGCCAGTGTGGATCAGTGAATCAGTTTCTCCTCTCACTCCTGACAGGAACAGCGCACGCCGAACATCATAACCAGGTGTCTGAAATAGTGAGCAGGAACATCTTTGGTGGCTGTGGACTGACAGTTCGGAGGTGAGACTCAGAAACACCTCCCAGGTGGTTGAAAGAGCGTGGTGTCAGTGCCGTGTCACATTTCAGCAGCTTCCACGTCGCAGCTCCAAATTACATTAGGAGAGTGGTTGTTTTTTTACGCCTCAGAAAAAGTCACTGTACCTGCTGTGAGTATCATCCTGCTGATCTCATTATTAGGTCTTAATTATGACCCAATAACAGGTGGATGTCACTCATTAACTCATTAACTCATTAACTCTTTAACTCATTAACTCTTTACCATGTTGTCTAACATCCCTGACATAAAATCCTTAATGAGATGGGACTTTTTCCCCAGTTCGACTTTCTGAACCCTGCCTCGGCGAACACTCTCAGCTCGTCATTATCACCGTCTTCTCTGCACCTGAATATAAGGTATGATACTTTTTTTTTTATCTATGAATAATTCATCAGGATTTTGTGAAAAATGCTGCACAGATAAACAGATCAGGGCAGAAATATGTTGTTTTTAACACACGACAGAATCTTCAACAGTGTCACTGTTCACTCCTTCACCGTCTGAGACGACGAGTCGAGAATATATACATATATATACACGTGTATATTTATATATGTGTATGTGTATATGTATGTATATATGTGAGAAGGGTCAATCTCACTGGTCTCATCAGAATATATAAATATATACGCATATATATTTATGTATGTAAATATATATCTCTGTATATATATTTAAATATGTATGTGTTAATATATATATTTACATATATATATTTGTATATGTAAATATGTATATTTATACATATATATATATATATTTATATGTGTATATGTAAATATATACATATATATTTATATATTTACATATATTTATTTAAGCTCAATATCAAATAACAAAAGTAGAATCTTGGTTTAAGTTCAAGGTGATTGGCGGTTTTTATTCATTGAACTGAGGAGTAAACAGAATGTATGTATCAAAAACCAGGACTAAATCAGTGCATTTGTTGTAAAATGATTGGCTGACGGTGGTTGGACGAAGGGAACGGAGAACAACCAGATCTGTCACATCTTCACCACAGATAAACAGGTGGAGTGTTTGTGTGGAGCTGTGTGCTGTAGTGCGGCGCATCACTGCAGCAGCGGCGGCACCTGCAGAAGCATTGGCTGCCCTCTAGTGGTGACAACAGGTACTGTTCATACAACAACCAGTCCGCTGTGCCGTACCGTTCAGTGGGTGCAGAGTTTTTCATCAGTTACTGCACCATGATTTAACACTCCGTGATGACCTCACGTGTACTCAGGTACTACAGAGTATTACGTGTACTACAGTCCATTTTACTGGATAACGTCGACCCCTGAGCAGACGTTTGAAGTCTGACACATCGACGTTTAAATATGAACAAATCTGAGACAAAAATCACACGTTACATTCACTTTGTCTCATTCACACATTCCCTGCCCCCCCACTCCTCCCCCC